TCGTTTTCGGTAGTTGCTAATCTGAGTTCAGTGGGAAGTCATAATGTTATTTTCTGTACTGTAACATGTGACGGGGTCAGAGTGGTTATGCAGGCTATTTTTTATTAGTTTATTTTGATGGCCGTGAACAGCATCTGCTTTTTATCTAAGTGCCATGCTTTCATTTCAAATAGTTTTTAGTTTTTTACTGTTATTAGTCTTTGTTAAAACAAAAAATTCCCAGATTTAGTTTGTGAAGGTCATAAATTCCACAGTATGGAGGTCAATAGACCAGATCGGCCACAACTGACATTTTCCATAAGGCCCTGACAGTGTGAATGAGTCAGTGTCATGTTTCTTTCTCTGGTGACAGTAATGTCCCTGACATGAATTTACAGCTCCTAAAAAAGACCCTAAATCCTGGGAGGAGAGGAGAGGGATTACTGGGAGTTTCTGGTAATGGAGGGATTTTCCCTCCTCGAAAATGTATCTTTTGAACTTCCGACTTGTTGATAGGGATCACTCACTGAGTGCTGATGTATGTTGGTGATGCCCTGGTTACTATGTAACAGCAACAGCTTTGTCATTTTTATGAATTGTTGCATTCTGTAAGGCACTGTTACGGGTAATCAGTGACTGAAACCAATCTCAGAATGCATTGAGGCAAATGCAGGAAACACTCTTGACAGGTTGTGGTTGAGGGCTTACTATTAGACAGAGAGGAACGGCAATCCAAACCTCAGACCTGGTACTTTGGTACTTCAATTTTGTATTTTGAGCAGTAGTCGGGGAAACGCGCCACAAAGTACCACGTTACAGTAATGAGATTACATTTGTCTGTAAAGCAGTAGTTCACCGGTTACTGTTAGTTCAGCAGTAAATACATTACAGTTACTAAGCGCAAAATGATTTTGTGACTTGAGTTACTTTAAGCTCTTCAACTATTTGCAATGGGAGGACAGTCAAATAAATCAAACGACCCTGTTCGCTTGCGCAACACTCGCAGGTTCATGGAAAAGGAGACTGAGTGAAATGGCATAGTTGCATAGCAGAGATAAACAGGCTTGTTGCAGCATACATCACAGAGGAAATGTTGCCCGTTTCAATGGTGGAATCGCCATCTTTCCAAAACATATTGAGCGAGATACAGGTAACAGGCGGCCGCCATCAGACAGTTGCCTTTACACAGGCAGCCGTTGAAGATAAAAAACAATCTAGACTTAGCAATGAGTCCTGAAATAGATCAGTAAACCTATAATCGCAGAATAAGCTATGAATGAATCCGACATTTTGTTCAATGTGAACTTGTGATATTTGACACGCTTTGATACTTGGTGCTCCGTACGTGTTTCATTTGGCCCCTTTCTACTTTGCATGCACTGTGTTGTGGGATAATACATTGACTAGTTGATCTGAACACCACCCTCCACTCAATTATTTTAATGGATCACATCATTACAGTATTGATTAATCAGTCGTTTAAAACCTTTGGGATTTCTGATTACATGTTCTGTTCAATATGCAGAGTGCCTCCCTGTGATGTAGAGACTGGGCTGGAGTCATTGTCACCTAATTATTGTCCGATAGATATTGAGTCAAAGCTCCTCTTCACTAAGCATGCAGCTTATTAAAACGCCTCTCAGATCAGCCTGCTTCTCATCAGCCTGCACCTTATCCTTCTCCCTTTCTGTGACCTTGCAAGCAATTTTCAGATCACAGAAGCTTTAATAAAGGTGCGCTTAAACACACATGATTCGGATTAATGCATGGTGTCTTTTTTTTAATGTTTAACTAATCGCCAAGGTCCTTGATTTACAGAGATTGGAAATATATTGTTGCACTTTTGTTTGCAGTTGAATGGACGTCGGTGTTATGTATCATTGGGGATGGTAACATTAGTCATAGTCGCATTCATTTTGTTTTCACTTATGAGGCTTCTTCCTGTTGCTTGAGTTTGCCCCATTTACATTTTTGTTATATTATTATTATAAACAAATCAAGTTAAATAAGGATAGATTAAAGTTGGCTGTTCGATCATTTATGTTTTTGGAAAGACAAGAGGGCAGAAGAACTCGACACACAGCTCTGACACATTAGGCCTTATACAGCTGCTGTGGCTAACGTGGTCGCTAACACTTGCCTTCAAGAAGACACATCAAGAAGTAACAGTGGTGAGCTTCTGGTAAACTTGCCATTAGAAAAACCAATGTTCACTTTCCCTTTATATCTGTTCAAGTCTCAACCAAGTCCTGAGAAAATGTGTCTCCTTCCAGATACACAAAATGTGTTTTGAAAAGTTTAATTCTGTTGTGACTTGCCCACTTCCCCTTTTTCCTTATTCCTTTTACAACCTGAAATTGCCCCCCCCCCCCCCCCCCCCCCCCCCTGCATGACCCTCTGGTGTCTATCTCTGACTGACATCTACCCATTTCACCTTGATTTTAATTACACTCCAACCCCTCAATTTACCTGCCCGAAACTACTTCAAAGAAAGAATACACACAAAAGGCCCTGAACACAGCACTTCAGCACCTTCTTCTCTGTGACCAACTAGGAGTGTGAATCGATCCTAATCCTGTTGCTTGAAGGCTTTTAAGCCCTACGTCTCACTCAAGAGGATTTTTATAACTGTTCATTTGTGTTTTGGTATGCAGCCAGTGCGATTTAAACATCGCTCCGAGACTCTTTGAGTCTAATGTGTGGTCGTGTACTCTCATAAACCTTTTGCATTTAAGCTTGTGTGTGCAGAGGAGTACATGTGTGTGTGTGTGCGGCTTTGAAGTGCGCACACCTGTTGTAAGCCATCATGAGAGCAGTGATTCATCCGATGAGTAGCATGGCAGAAAAGCTCCGGGTCTGTTTACAGTGCAAACACAAAGAAACAAGGGGTCACGGCCATGTCACACACCTCTCCATGCACGTTGTGTGTCCAAGTTTGTGCTAAGGTTTGACCTTAACAATGCCGTGCACTCATTCAGTAATAACCAGTGCTCTCGAATTTCCCAGTAAGTTTACATGCACTCTTGAAACCAGGTTCTCAAGAGTAATTAGGTATAAAGTGTAGTTGCAATCTGATAACCTGATTTAAAATGTGCTCTTTATGCAGCAGGTCAATTATCATGATTTCTCCCCCACCCTCAACCTTATTTATATTGTAAGTAAATAATGTAGTTATGTTTCACCCTTAATGGGCAATAATCTTAGAATTTTATTTCAAAATGTTACGTTTTGAAAAAATAAATTCAAACAGATTGTACTGTTCCGTTTAAAGGTGGGGTAGGTAATTTTGGAGAAACCAGCTCGGGTGCGCAAGAATTTTAAAATACACAACCGGAAAAAATCTGCCACTTCCTTACAGAGCCCCTCCTCCAACACACACGAATGCACACATGACCAATGAGGGCACGAGATAAGTTTGTGCACAGATGGAAGGCTGACAGGCAGGTAGGCCATCCAGTTATTTTAGCCGGGTCGTGCTTTTTACAGTACCACGGCTTCCACAGATGAAATTCTTTTATGGATTTTTTGTCAAAGCACTTAAGATATTCATTGCTATCGGGATGTTAAGAGCATTCCATGGAATATAACAAAAAGTGTATCTCGAGCCGGTTTCTCAAACTTACCTACCCCACCTTTAACTCTGCTGCTGAATATTTCCACCATACGAATGCATCACTATCATCAACTGTATACAATAAGTCTCCTTGATGCCACCGTCTGGACTGTGGAATTTGGTTTTAAACCCTCTGTGGGTTTTTTTGTACTAGATTTAACTCTCATGAATTGAAAACACAATCTAAAAGGGTTAATATTGTAAACTGGACAACATTTTGTGGCAGTGACCTATCAATCAAAAGAAGCTCCGCCCTAAAGCATGTGCTGCTTTATTGTCTATTGTACTCTAAATGGGCACATTATCTAAAAAATGTAGAACATGCTGTATTGTGTTAGACTTCAAAACTAGTCTTTGAGACATTAAACTCGTCAGTGAAATATGAATGTAAAACATTTAGTGAGAACCAGTGCTTTAGCTTTTAGAAATAATGCAGATTTAAGGCTCTTACATTTTTCAGACCCAGGAGGTAGACGGTAGAAGCGATACATTCCCCCAATACAGATGGTTGTAAAAAGGGTGACATTTAGCTTGAACATTTGAAGCAGTAGACTACTACAGAACAGAAATAATCTGAAACATACTTGAGTGTCTCTTCTCTGTCATCTTTTTCACCTGACTGGCAACACAGCTTTTGGGTTTGTGTGAAACCCAGAGTAAGACCTACTGTAGAGAGAGAGATGTCTTAATATAGCCAAGCTGTCAGACATGTTTCAGATCCCTGGGGGGGGGGGAAAGTGTTCTGAAGTTACTGCCGTTTACAGACAAGCCTGACAGTATTGCAAATCAGGACGGTGCACCAATGCTTTTTATTGTGCCAAAAAATGTCAGTTTCTCAAAAATAAATGACTTTTTATTAGGAATAATGTTCTGTGCAAGTTGACATCAACTTTTCCATGCCTCTTATTTTTATCTCACCAGAAATAGAGACTCACTTCTCTTGAGGAGAGAGAGTAAAAAAGAGAGAGTTTGGCGACTAATTATCAAGGCAGCTATTCAGATTATTCAGATGCTTGCTCTGCCCCCCGCCTCTCCTCCCCCCAGGCAGTGAAGGGTCTTTTCTGTCCCCAGAGAGTGATGTCAGCATGGCCCATTGAAAACAGCCGCCGTGGCTGCGAGATGAATGCCCTGGCTGAGCACAATGGCCCCAATTTGAATACCACGCGGATATATGCCAGATCGGAGCCCCAACAAAAGAAAGAGGGCTACTCTGCTCCCATTCAACCATGTTGTTATTTTATTAGAGTCGTAAACTTGCTTCAACCATTTATACCTTTTGTAGTTTTCAAGTGTTTATGGAGTTTGAAACACGTGGACGAGCTGACAGGGTCGCCCCCGATTTTGGACTGGATTTTATGTTTGTTGGCTGATAACTGAACGGCGTGGTTGTGTTTGTGTCTGAACGCAGATCTACACGGACTGGGCCAACCACTACCTTGCCAAGTCAGGAAACAAGCGTCTGATCAAGGACCTGCAAACAGACGTCGCAGATGGAGTGCTGCTGGCTGAGATCATCCAGGTCGTAGGTAAGGAAAACACACTTCTGATCGCAAAATCTGCAAAAAGGAAAATAAGCTCCGATCACGTGCTTGCTAAAGAAAAAAGTCAAACATGTTGTCAGCTACTTTTAGAGCTTTGACTGACCTTAACCAAACAAATAGCTTCATCTCTTCCAAAACAAGGGGCATCACCATCCAATAACCAGCAAGGTGAATCACTTTATTATGTATTATATGATGCAATAATGTCAGTTTGAATCATGTCAAGAGTACATTTCATCCTGCACCATTCAATATTTTACTTTCATCCAGCGTTGATAACGTTTGGACAAAACACTCACATTTTTTAAATGTTCTTTAGCTCCCAAAATGTGATTATCTATTAAATGAAGCAAAGAAAAACTCACTTCGCCTAACATTAATATGTGAGAAGAAAACAACTGCAAACAGGACATCATTTCTAAATACAAGAACAAAACATAACTGCCCCATGAAGCCCATGAAAGTATACCTAAAAAAGCACATTTCCGAAGTAACCTGTAAGGTGTTTACCTGTACTACGTATTAATCACAGTTCCTCTCTTATTTGTACACACATATTAATCACATTTCTCAACACCAAATAAAATCATTATCATTATTACATTCACCAACAGGAATTTTAGACCTGATTTCCGTGTGTTTTTAAAGACTCATGTGAACTAGGATGACCTGGTTTGGTTGTAATAGTGGGCTGTTCCTCCGTCTTTTTGACCCTCGCCCTCGTCTGTCTCATCATCGGTCCTGTCATTTTGCCTGGCCATCCTCAGCCTGTCATTTCATGTGCCGACAGCTTTGAGGCTGAAGCATCCTGACACCAGCTGACCGGTGACTCAGCATGTCACTGACTGTCTGCTCCCAGCTCTAACCCTTCACTCTGACCCACATTTCTACTTCCTATGCCCCGTATGGCTTCATGGTGCACAGAGAGAAATCTCACTGTCATACTGTAGCTGTTGCATGTGATTCTATTTGGAGAGTTGAATGAAGCTTGACAGCCTCTCTTTCTCATACCACAACGTTCACACTGGCTCCAGCTTTTTATCCTCATGATGGAAACTTCAATATTTCAGATTATTCTAGAGATGTTGACGCTTTTAACAACACCAACAGTCAATCCTGCACACATGGAGGTTGTCTTTAGAGCAGGGGTGTCAAACTCAATTTCATCGCGGGCCACATTACAAAATTAGATGCATTGTGGGCGATGTAACCAATAATAAACGTATTATATTCTTTGCAAACTCTTGCGGGCCACTTCAAATGAAGTCGCGGGCCTTGATTTGACACCCCTGCTTTAGTGTAACTGAGCTTGTTGTAGTGGAATACAGTCAGGCTCTAAATACTCCCAGTGACTAGACCCACAAACTAAAAGTAGATTTTGTTCTGGTTATTTTTTAACTTTATAGAGGCCTTCTGTTTTGCTGGCCAGTGATTGACCCGCCCATACTTAAACAGTTGACCCTGATTCTTCTTTGCACCTCAAAGTTCTTCCTCCTGAGAAGAGACTTCATTAAAACTGTAATTCAGTTTCATAAGTTTAAATGAAAGTACACTTCCTGAGTACCTGTCAAATGTTTCTGCATTTCTAGAAAATGAACTAATGAACTAAAAAAAGTTCCCGGGGTCCGAAAGTGTCACAACATTCATCCCCTTCATTCAGTACTTGTGTATTCTCACAATACCAAGCTTACATACCGTATATACTGTACTCTTGGACAGCTGATCATCGCTGCTCCTGCCCTGCTCTTAATTGAAAACAACACGAGGCCAGAGGCGTCCATTCCCCTGTTCCTCCTGCTGCCTACTCTCCATTCGGAGATAAACCTCAACACCACATAAGCGCCGGTGAAACAGGAGCTGGCCTGCTGCTGCTGCTTCGAAAAGCCATACTGGGACCAGATATGGCACCACAGTAGCTATTGGACCAAACTTACATCCAAGGTCAGGACGTTGGAAGAGGAACACCTTCAGTGAAGTTTGTTGAGCCCATCCTGAGGGGAACCGTTCAGATTTTGTGACCTTTAAAGATAGTTAAGATTGGGATACTTTCTATCTTTTCAAAGAAACCTTTATATGGTGTGGCTGCTGGCTTTGCATCAGTCAACCAGGCAAAATGTGTCTAGTTTTGTGTTTAACATTTATTTTGGCATAATTTGTGTCTCAAAATCACACAGGAGCTATCTCTTGTGACAGTGTGCAATTTATCAGGAAGCAGACAAATATTCTCAACATTAGTATTGTTTAATTAATGATCATGTTATGTATTTACACATTTATATTTGTAGGACATTTGATTTTACACATATAGTAATGGCAATGACCAGTGTTTCTGGCCTGTAGTTTTCCAACGCAAAGTTTTTTAAAGATCTTTTGACTGTATTGTTTTTATATCCTACACCTTCAACCATTATTAAACCTAAATAAATGATTAATTAAATCAACATGATCAACATACAGCTCTGAATGGCAGCCATTCCATTCCAGTGTCTGTTGAATTCCAACACAGATAAATGTTGTCAGTAGTTTATAGAATAAAACTGCAACATTTTCCTAAAACACAAACCTATAAAAAATTAAACCAGACAAACTGATAATGCTACAGTGGTCTCTCAATTTATTCCAGAACTGTAGCTTAGTTCAAAGGGGTCACAATCCAAGTAGTTTTAGAACCACTGCCAAAGCCTGGTTGTGAGTGTCCATTGAGTCCAGTGTCAGCAGAACACATTAAAAGACCAATATTTATTCACCAGACAACAAACAGGAGTATTTCCCCCAGGGAGTAAGGTGGTTGCAGTACAGGTCCTGAGGTTGGAGCTGCACTGTGGGCCCCACTGTGCTGCTGGCACAGTTGTCAGCTGTGAGCTGATGATGGTTGTTCTTCTCAGCTGCTGTGGGCTGGGCCCTCTAATAGATGGGGAGGAATCCCTGACAATACACACACGCACACGCCCCCCTCTGAAGGAAGCAGCCACAAGCACACATCTTGGTCGGGCCCCCAGTGGCCCTGTTCCCATTTGCGTGACCAGATAGTGGTTTCATGTCTCTGCGGGAGGGGAAAGGACACCTCTGCTCTCCGCACTCAGCCAGTAACTGTCTGGTACACACACTCAGGGATTTCCACTGGAATAAAGAGAGGATTAAATCAACGCCTGAAAACTGTTTTCATTCTCCCTTTCTTCTATCTCTGTCCTCTGCCTCCTCTGTCCTCTCCTCAGCCAATGAGAAGATTGACGATATCAATGGCTGTCCCAAGAGCCGGACTCAGATGGTAAGTGACCTTTTTTTAATGTTTTGGCAGAAAGTTGTGAAATGTACCCTCTGTGTGACTTTCTGTGTGTTAACACGTCTTTGATGTCCCATCTCACCGGCCCATGTGGCTCTCGCTGGGAGCTGCGGTGCTAAAGCCACCGGTGAATAGTTATAGTCCATTTATTTTTACTTTTGTGGTCTTGCGGGCTGCCGTCCGTGAAACCTCTGGCTCAGACTTCTGGCAGTTGGCTCTCAGTTGAAAGAGAGCGCAGGCTTTGGCTTCGGGGCCAGTTTTTGCCTCATCTTATTACACTTGCAAAGGAGAGAGCTTTCCTCTCATCTCCAGGAGTGGAAAGGAGGCAGGGAGCATCAGCGCTGGTGACAGAGAGGATGTTTACAGCCAGGTATGATGGGGTTTCTGTCCTCAGACGTTTAGGCAAATATCTAAGTGGGATTCCCTTTGTAACGCTGCTGGTGGGATTCTGGTGTTTTTTTACAGTTTTGTGTTCTCTGTGGGAAATGAGCCCAGGGCAGGGCTTGCCCTCCACTGAATGTGAAGGGTCGTAAATTGGGCCAGTGTGCCAGCCTGAGGGGGCTATTTTTGGCCACCAGCCAGACTACTGAAGCTCCCAAAGCACCAGAGAGAGAGAAACACACACACACACACACACAGTTAACAACTGAGGAGGGAGGTGGAAGCACAGCTGATCATTTCCCCTTCATTGCAGAGATGGAAACATATTACTGTACTTCTTCGGACAAGTGTGTTTTCAGCATTTTAAAGTACTCTGTTTTAATGTTTTGATGTTGGTATGTCTTTTTGTTCTGCCACTTTATAAATTGTGATGTGGATTTAATGATGTCTTGCTGAGCTACTGAAAAGTACATCAGCCAAGATCTAAAAATCAATTCAACATACTATCAATATAGAGCTGGAGTGGGCTACTACAAAGCACCAAGTCTGGCTGTCAGTAGAGATAGGTGATAATATATTAGCATAACATTGGTGATCCAGGATGACTGGTATCATAAAGCTGGTTATAAACTGGGCCGGTTAACTCTGTGTTTTCCCATCTGGCTACCAGTGCATTAACATGAAAGAGCTAGCGTTTGGAAATGCTAAAGTGCATCATCAGAAACATAATTTAAGTACTTATTGGGAAATAAGATATCCATGGAAACATTTGGTTATAGCAAAACCAAAACCTTAAATGGTTAAGAGAAAATAAGGCCAAGACTAAACAATAAATAGAGGAATTATTAAATACTATAGGTTGTTTGTAGAGTGCATATGTTTAGCTTTTTTCGCAGGTTATTAATAGAATATTATACATTTGTAATGCACAAAGTTAAGTACTAGACTGTTTCTTCCAAGCAGAGAAGAGAGGAGAAAATTAGCTAATACTTCATATGGTTATTAAAATATATAACTTAAAGGGAGCTAATAAACAGAATGTGGTTAATCTTTCTGTTAAAAGACAACAGTTTATAGGACAATAGTTATTAATAGGAATAAAGGAAAATTGGCTCGATTGAAATGCAGTTTTTTTTTTTTTGCCATTGTTATTTTTAAGGGTCTAAAACTGTCCCAGAAAGTCGGAATCTGATACTACTGACCTATACAATTATTTATCGCTCCTATTTCTTGTCACTTTATGTGTTAATTCAGCACATTTGTCCATATCAAGATCCTTTGTTTGTGACGGCTCAGCCTTTCCAGTGAGTTAATTGGTCAGTAGCAAAGCTTTGTGATACCAGAACACCTGAGTTAGATTCAAATTCACTATAGAGACACATGCACATGCATAAGTCACATTTGAAAATAGCTCCCTCTCAACTTCCTGTCCCACTCACTATCAATTAGGCCTCTCCTATTAGTGCTGATTGTGCCCCCCAGTCGTCATGTAATTGAGCGTTTTGCACTCTTTGGTCTCAGTGGTCGGGGCGTCTCTCTGTGGTTTTGTTGTGCCATTATGAACATCCTGTGAACCCTCTCTTACATCCCGCCCGCTGTCATCTGCAAACACAGCAGCTTTATTTTAAAGACAGGAAATTGTAGGATACCTCTGAGACAAATCAAAGTGGGTCTAAATATATCATCTCTGTCTGTGATTGTGTTCCCAGTGTTTATATTTGGTGTGTCAGTCAAGAGAGAAACAAAAACATTTTAAAAGTCTGCATTCAAGCAATTGAGTGACTGTCAAATCTGCTTTTCTTTTTGCTTGGATACACTCAGATGTGCCGGTTGTGAGTATTTTTGGATCACTGCGTATAATCTCTGAAGGTTTGTTAGCTTTAAAGCAAACTCTGACGCACTCAAGCATGTGGCGAAGGGCAGGTGCTGCAACCGCAGTCATTATGCAAATGTCTGCTGTGTGTGTTGTTGTAATGTCAACACAAACACACACACACAGGTCCTGAGAGTTTACTTGGCAGCTAGGGGGTTGGAGGAGTACGAGAGCCCACTTATACTGCACTTGATTTCATTGCATTGAACCCAAAAAGCTCCAGCTGCTGCCAATTACCGACACGTAACTTAACCCTCCTTCTCTAAACGAACAAACATGGTAATAAGCCCGTCGGTGGAGAATAAACTGTAGCACTCTCACCCTCGCTCTCACGCTAGCTGATTAGCATGCTGGCTATCCAGCCTGAGAGACAAGCTGTTATTTACAAACTGTCACATCGTCGTTAAACGGACCCGGTCGTCGGGTCGTTCCTCTGCCACCCAGTCGGCCTCTGTGTTTGTTTGTGTGTCTGTGTGAGTGTTGGTAGAGACCAGAGCGAGGGTGTTGATCTGACACTGAGCTGTTAAACCACACAGGATGCCACGCACACAACAAGGCACACAGACAAACACACACACGGTGTCTCATCCAAGCAATCCCATCTTAAAGCTACAGCTTCTGGAATTTACTAGATTTCACCTGCTACGAGCTGGGAAATACAACAAAGCTAAACAAGGAATGGATTTATCAGCCAAACATTTCATCACTCTCATTTCATTCAGGGCTTTTAACATTCTGGTGAGAGATTCATGTAATTAATTTACTTCAGACACGATGGACCATCTTTGAGTAGAATTGACAGTGACTAGTTCATTATCCAAAGCTATTCACATGAACATTGGCAGCATATTGTACCAGGAACCTATTCCCTCAAAGTTGATTTTTCTTTAATTGGATTTACCAACACTGTCATCACCACAAATGATATACCTCCATTGCATGAGGATTGAAGGGACATGTCACTTCAGAAAGTTAAAATGTTAGGTTCATGTATGTTGATTTGAAAGGTACTCACCATTGCATTTAGCCCAGATTACATTTTGGACACTTGTGATGTACACATACTGCATATATGTACATATTCATGATTAAGCCATGCTTTAGGCTATACCGTACTACACTTATGGATATTGAAGAAGAAAGCGATATACTTATTCAAGCTTACTTATTGTGTTTGTTATAAGCTCTATTCATATTTTGTTTGCTGGATTGGTTTATTTTCCAATGTTTCTACTGCTGTTGCAAAGAAAAGGTGGTGAGGTGAATGTGCTGGATTGATAGATCGACACACAGGTAGAAACCAGCTGGACCAGGTGTTTAATGGGCTTGATGAAAAACAGGCTTAAGAAATCATCATTAGCCACAGTGGATTATAAATAAGCAAACAGCTCTTTCACTTCATGTCAGGCTCTATCTCCTCTTATTTCGTGTTTGTGTGTTAAACTGGCCTGACAATAGAGCTGTCCTTTACAGTTCATTATGTTCTTTCACCTTTTGGCGCAGTGCCACACAGTTTCAACCCGATTGAAACCCAGTATTCAATCTTTTTTGAACACAGTCGTTTTTAGAGACACAGCTTCAGACCGGTTTGTACACGGTTTGCTTCTTCGATGCAGAATCATTTCAGTGGTTTTGTAGATGGGGAGATTAATGCAGGTAAGCGGGACAATCGTTTATTAATGATTCAGCGGTCTGGTAAATGTTTGATCAGAGGGAGAGGTACTTTTCTGTGTGTGTGTGTCAGAGAGAAAAGTCCCCAAACTGTGTCAGCTGGTCAGCTCAGTGATCACATGACCAACTGGAAACAACAGAGCAATCACAGTAACTGTTTCTAAGCAACCAAATATACCAAACCCTCAATCTTAATGTCGGAGGGTGCAGACTTTTATTTGCACATACAGTACAAGACGTTTTTGTTTTCCTCATTAAGGCTGCTGTACCCTCGGGCAAGAAAGACATACATTAGGTGGACAAAATATCAGAAACACTCATGAACTAATAAAACAGCCCTGCAACAGAAGCTACCACTGTGAAGCATGTCTTCATTTTTGTTCACTAGACTATAATCACATGTTGCACAAAAACGTTTTTGTTTTTTTCAGCCCTTGTAAACCCACAGACATACTGTGTTGCATAAGTTAATGCATGTGTTGCGACAACAGTAAGTCCAATCATTGATGATATCACACAAGAGTCTGTAAGATATACAAGACAGTAATCCAGAAACCTAAAACTTGGCAAAAAACGTGGCCTCTTTTTAAAATGAAAACAACTAATTAAATCAGCTATGCTTTAATTATTCTGCTCACAGTACAGCAGGGACATGTTGATGTAGCCAGAGGACTTTTTTGTTTTTATTTGTGAACGCAGATAGTGTCAGCCTGAGGGTAAAAGTAATAATAAATCTTATGAGAAGATAACAAAAAGACAGATTTTTAAATATGCTTAATTAAATGGGAGAGCACAGTGTGATTACAGACATGAATAAGCACACACACAACAGCAAGTCTATAACCATTTCCAGAAGCAAAAGACTGAAAATGCTGCCTGACGTGAAGTGTGTGACTTTGCATCACGATGTGTGCCTCATAGCTGCTGCCTCACTTTTTATCAATAAGCTGTGAAAGCCAACACTTCCCTGAGGTGTTAAAACCTCTGCATACATTTTTTCAAGTCAAGACAGAGAATTATTGAGGCAGATGTCAAAGTTTAGGCAGGTGAGCTGGGAGCT